ACTGCAGCTAACAGTCAGCTGAAGTGGCTGCAGTACTGCACTCTAACCACTGCGCCACCTCGGCTCAAAGGTCGCAAAAGGGGGTTGCATGACCTTGGGACACAGCAATGGTCATAAGTATGCATCATTTGTCAAGCATCTGAATTTGCTACAAAGTGTAAAAAATGTTCATGTCACTTTTTCAAGGTTGCCCGTTGTAACTTTGAACGGTCATTAAATGAACTGTCCTAAGTCCTGAACTACCTGCACGTAGTTTTGTCATTCATTTTACAGCTGATAGACTTCATCATCATCTTCTTATGACCCCATAATCCCTTGTGGGGTGGAGTCTGGGCAACTGAATGTGTTTACTGGCCCGATGCCCTTCTTGTCACCAATGCAGAGTTCACAGCAGATAATTACTCATCGTGCCCAGAGAGAGAAATACCTAGGATCGAACTCACAGCCTCCTGATTGTGAGGCGAGAGCTCCACCTCTAGGCCATCGCGCCACTCCGCTAATAGACTTAATATGTTTAGCTATTTGATTCTCTTCTGGTTTTTGTTTTTTTCCCTCCAAGGTATTTCGTCAAGCAAGAGCAAATACTCCAGCGATAGTTTTCCTGGATGAAATTGATGCGATCCTGGGATCCCGATCGGGAACTAAAACCGAGTGTGGCGCCCACGAGAGAGTCCTTTCCGTCCTTCTCAATGAGTTGGATGGCATCGGAGTCAAGTTAACGGAGCGAAGAGGAAATAAAGCAGAGGTGGAAAACGAGAGTCAAGAACCAGCTGAAATTGATAAAGAGGTATATAGGCACATTAGCGATAACACTTAGGTTTATATACCGCTTCACAGTGCTTTCCAGCCCTCTCCAAGCGGTTTACTGAGTCATCGTATTGCCCCCAACAATCTGGGTCCTCCTTTTACCGACCTCGGAAGGATGGAAGGCTGAGTCGCTTAACCTCCATGCTACGATCTTAACAACTGCAGTGATTCGCTTAGCAGTTGTGGCAAGAACTGTTGTCAAATGAGCCAGATGTCACTTAACAAATGCCTCACTTAGCAACAGAAAGTTTGGGCTCTGTTATAATCATAAGTCGAGGACTACCTGTATAAGATCACATCATTACACCCTGTTCGATGAGGCAGGAGAAATCCTTTCGTTTCCTTAGCTGAAATAANTGAAGTCCACAGGTCTTAAAGTTGCCAAGGTTGGAGACCACTGTTATATAGGGTTGTCAGTGTTGTTGGGAGGGTTCTTGGTGGTTCTTTCTTTTGGCTGTTGTTTACGGTTGGGTTGTTTGAGTTGGTAGCTCTTGACTGGAGTATTGTTTGACTTCTTACCCGGTTTTGTTTTAAGTTGTTCAGGTACCTGCCTTGCTGCCTGATCCTTGCCCGTCTCAGAAGATGGCTCTGTTAAAACTGCTTCCACCGGATCCAGAAGATGAGGGCAGCCAGCGGTGCAGGCTTGGTCCTGCGGCATTCGCCTTGCTAGGCGCTAAGCTGGGCTCCTTGATCCAGATCACCTTGCCCAGTGGCTCTTGCCTGTGCACAGCCTGGCCAAGGCACGATTCGGCTGATGGCTACCTGCAGCTCGACCTCAAATGCAGGACTTGGGGATTAAGGGAAAGCCAGCTGCGAAGGCAGACCGTGAGCATGGAGCAGCTGAAAGTAGTGGCCTGCCCCAAGCTAAGACATGTGACGGTCCGAGTCGTTTTTAAAAACCAGGCCTCAAAAACAGCTCTTCCCGAAACGGCGCTTCCGGAAGTGGTGCGGGAGCTTTTGAGAAAGGCCTGCGTGGCGCGCCAACACGTCGTGACTTTCCCCCCAATTCTGGGCAACCCTGTTGAGTGCCTCGAAATATTGTCCATGGGACCATCCAGCCCGGAAGAAGCCGGCTTGATCACCCCGCAAACCAACGTCCACGTTAAGGAGACAATCACGTTGGAGAGGTACGGTCGCCTGATGGGGGACGGTTCGAAAATCCGGGTGGCCGGCTTGGATGAAGTCAGCCGGGCTTTAAAAGAAATGATTGAACTGCCCCTGCGTTTCCCGAACAGCTTCAAAAAATTAGGCCTCTCGGTCCCAAAGGGAGTTCTTTTGGTAGGGCCACCGGGAGTTGGCAAGACGCTACTGGTCAAGGCAGTGACTGGAGAAGCCGGGGCCTGTCTGGTGGGCCTCAGTGCCCCCGTGGTCTGTGGTTCGCGGCCTGGCGAAAGTGAGGAGAACTTGCGACGGGTCTTCGAACAAGCGAGAGAACTCTCCAGCGAAGGGCCCACCGTCCTCTTCATTGACGAGATCGATTCGTTGTGTCCCAAGCGGGCAGCTTCCGGTCATCTCCCTGAGCATCGCCTGGTGGCTCAGTTGCTAACTCTTATGGATGGATTTAACCAAGGACAAGGGCTGGTCATTGTAGGGGCTACCAACAGGCCAGATTCCCTGGATCCTGCCTTGAGAAGACCAGGCCGATTCGATCGAGAGGTAGTTGTGCCTTCAAGTCCTTCCGCCAACTGGTTGGTGCTTCCTGGAGATGGTTAGAAAAAGCTATAGGCACACAGTCCTTGTTTTGCGACCGCCTTAGTCCTCCTGGGGCTTTTGAGATCTGGTTCAGATTAAGCTGTACTTGCCCTGGGTTCAGCAAACTTTTGGGAGTGTTAGCGGTTAATAAAATGCCCATGTTTTCAAATAAATGTAGTCAAATAAAGGAGGGATAAGAATAACAACGTATATCTAGATATGGGTATAATATAAGGAAACTGGATGTAAATTTTAAACAGTGATTTGGAA